TATTGGATTTAGTATTAGATATATCCACTAATTCTGCTTCTATTGAAATGGAAATCTAGAGTTTAAAATTTTTGTTCTTTCTTGGAAGCAAATTGTATGGCGAAACCTCTTGGGAATTGCTGATGAAGGCACTTATTTTGAGAGCTTTACAAGAAATCTCAGTGGACACATTTGAAGAAACACATGAGTGCTCAAATAGAAACCAGAAAGTACAAGAATGTTTTACAAAATGTGGTTGAGACATGCAATCCCCTGTCCTGAATCAATGATTCATGACGACGCAGAGGAGTGATCGTAAACCGCAGAATCTAAGTCATGTAACCGTAGATTCCTTCACTGTCCAATCAGTCGTGTAGGTTAGCACCTACTCTAAATGTTTCCTGTTTATTGTGAGTAACATTTAGGGTTTGTGTTATTTGCTCCTTCATATGTGTGTTTCTTTATTGTCTATTTTGTGTTCTGTTGCACCACGTGGATTATTTAGTACAGATGAAATCCATTCAAATGCACGCTGTTCAATCAGAATTGATATAGTTGGAAGCTTGCAAGTCAAGTCCACTACTTTGAATGTAGTTGGTGTGAAACAGCCTGGAGGACTCATTCCAGATGCACAAGCACCTAAGTTTCACGCTTGGACTTCCGATGTCTCCAGCTTCAGACATATTTTAGCTGTAGTGCTACATAACTAAAGATTATGGAAATCCAGTGCAAGACTTTGAAACCTTTACAGAATTTATGCTAATCAGCTCATGACTTGACATTGAAGCCACTTCAAAGGCTCTGATAGCATCACAGCAGCTAGTGTGCATTTGATTTGGGCTTTTGAATGGTTTGAGACAGGAGTATATAAGCTTGTTCATCCAACATTTTTATACCAGAAATATGATGGATCTGTCCAGTTGTACATCATTGTATAATATACAAATTATTTAATTATAGCAGATTCCCAGATTCGATTCTGATTCACACGCTCTTGATTCCAGTTTTGATTCAGTTCAGTTAGGTATGTTTCAGTTATAATGTCAATATTTCTTACATATGAAAGCTATTCTGTCTCTGCTAATGTTAATGGACAGTGTAGGCAGTACATGTAATATTATCGCAATATTTTTGCTGACAATATAACATTGGGGAATGTGAATATTGTGATAATATCAATAATCTGTAATAAACTATAAGAGAAAAAAATAAGAGTTTCATTACCCTTTTTTTGTCTCACTAGAATGATAGCTCAGAGGCGCTGTTTTTTTTAAACACTTCCGAAAGTGTCAGAAGGTTTCTATTTATGTTTTTTCAGTGCTAAAGTATTGTAACCATCACAGACATCCATTAAAGGATTCACTGGTAGCTTCAGACTTTAAAATCTTTAGATTGAGAACCATATTTAAATGTGGGATTGAATCCAAAAATGACAACTATAGCAATGGAGGGTCCAAAATTCGGTGCGTTAAGTCTTACAAACTGATAGACCTGCCGCTTGTTCTATGCAATGTGTAATATGTTTCTTTGTTTTTCAAAGAACTCATTTTGTTGTTGTAATAAATTATTATAAATATTGCATGAATTATGAATATTGCACTTTTTGTATCTCTCTCTCTCTCTCTCTCTCGCTCTCTCGCTCGCTCTCTCTCTATGTATGTATTGTATGTATTTATATGTATGTGTGTGTCATTTTTTTTTCAAAATTGGTAACTATAGCTGTTGTATACAGATCATGTATACAACACCAAAGGCTGCTCACTCTTTGGGCACAGTGACCGAACCAGTCTCGTCTTAACTGTGTGACACTCCACTTAACCAAATCCCCACTGATTCAGGACGCTGTGCTTTAGGGGGAAGGGTGCACCAGGACGAGCATGAGTAATGAGATAGCTCAGTGTGATCTGTCCAGTCAATGGAGTGTTATTCTCTAAGGAGCATTTAACCCCATTCACATTGATCAGCAATCACTGGTCATTACTTATTATATGTTATGCAACTAAAGCCTGCTTCTTAGCATTGGGGAGCCCTGGTATAGATTTCAATGAGTCATGTGGCTTATTTTTGTTATTTGTTTGTTTAAAGAATGTCTGTATAGACCCATGAGAGCTGTGACCCAGAAAAGACACTGTCAGACAGACTGAGCTTTCTTTAATACAGGACAGCAGTGATATCGGACCACCAAAGGCCGCAGCTGCGGGAACATTGATTGATATGTCCTCTGGTCATATTTTGCTTTAGAATCCACAATCACTTCCCTTCTCTCAGTATAACCATAATCTGAGATAAATCTTGTATGCTTTTATGTATCTGACCCTATGAACCTCACTGCTGCCTTTTTTTATTTAATAGCTGACAGGTTTGTTTGGCCTACCCATACCTTGTTTGATACTATTACAATTGGAATACCATAGTATTCTTAGAAGTAACGTACAGTACCATTTAAATACAATGGCGCTGTATATGATTATGGTAAGGAAACCGTAACATGCTATACAGTGGCCCTAAAAAGTATACTTAAACCATGTTTAAAAATATATTGCTTTGCAAGTTCAAAATATCAAACCATGTGGCATTTATTTTAAAGAAAAATGGCAAAGTTACACTTAAGTAAAAACATTTAACAAAAGTATCCATAATTACACATTCTGGTTGTCAAATATTACTGAAAATGCTCATACTTAATGTGATCAACTACATTTGTGGTTTCCCTGACAGGGTCTGTTCTTGATTTTATACATCCACTAAAATGACTTTACCCCAGTTTATTACATGTTGTTGCAAAAATGCCTCAGAAAAGTGAAGTTCTTGCTGAGGAAAGCTTAAGCAGGATTTGTTCACAGATGCCACTTGGTTTGATATCACATCTTATATTCAGTGATGAGATTCAGACAGAATCATGAGATTCAGGGCCACTGTTATACCAGTATTGTACCAGTACATTTTTTGAAGGTATTGTTTGCTATTCATCTCTGAGCAGCTATAACTAAGCATTTCTGTCCTTGAACATTGCTTTTTTTTTTTTTTTTTGGTCTGTCATGGAAATATTTTTGGAATTTATTTATTTTTATTCTATTTTTTTTTTTTTTAAAGAACTCGTTACAGAATGCCACCTTGAACATATAGACCTGAAATATGAATTTACTTCTACCTCCTTGGGGAATATGAACCTCTGCTTCTTACATACAAATAATTTCTTAGTGACACAATTGCATAGTTCTGTAATAGTGTAAACAGAAGTAGCATTATAATTTGTTTTAATGCAAACAATATGAGAAAAGAAATGGCCCTCATCACTCTCTAGCCATTCATGTCGTGCTGTGAGAGATTATAGTGCGTTTTTGTGTATTTAGTTAACTTTGCTTATGCAGATTATCCACCAGATTTACAGTGTAGCAGGAATGCTGGGAACTCCACTGAGACCTTTCTAATGGGTCACATGACCGTGGCCTCGGGGGGGACGGCGAGGTGACATCTGCTTCCTGATCTGCACGTTCGTGCTGCAACACGCCCCATCCGTACAGTACAGCACATGGAGAATAAAACCAACACACCTCGTCGGTTTAACACAACTGACTGCTTGTTTACAAAATAGAGTTTAGTTTGAGAGACTGTCACTCGCTTCAACTCAAGTGACTTCCTGTGAAGTGCTTCAGAGACAATGGGTCCTTCACAATACACGCATTATTGTGAAATCTTAATACTTAGACTTTGGCCTGTTCGCGATGCAAATTATAAAACTGGCAAGCACATGGAATGCGTCTTAAATGTACTCTGGCTGAGAGCTGCGGGGCCTGTCCTGCGGTGAATAGCTCTTTGTTTAGCTGCAGAACCCCCTTAAGCGGGGTGTCCTTTGATTGTAGCTGCCATTGAATGCTTTACAATGGAGTTGGGTGACATACTTGAGCGAGAGAGGGAGGGGAATGGGAATGAGTGGGATTGAAAGCCCCATTGGCGGGTTGTGCTGTTCTGCCACCTGGTGGTGAGGCAACAAGTTCAAGTCGGCTGTGTTGGTGGTCATCTACATCTCTGTTGCAGGTGGTCCGCTGCTGGGAGTACATTGCTGTGAACGGCATCAGTAGGTTTGTGGGGCAGCCGTGTGTTTGTGACCTGATTCTCTGGTTGGTCAAAGCTGTTAGAGCAATCGATTCGTTTTCATCGGTCTTCTCCCAGCGCTGTTGTAGTAGCCCAACAGTCTGAGTCAATGTTGTGTTGAGTTTCATAGAGTGCTATCGATCATTTGACCAATATGTTTCTCTTTGTGGTTCTCACACTTGCACAGACACTTTGACTAAATGGACTAAAGTCTCTTTGTGACCACAGAAGAGCATTTTGTTAGTTGCTAACTGTACAAAGACGTAAGTGAGGAGTCATTTAGATTGTTAACATTTAGGGCTCTTATTACATTGACAGTCCCCATGGAGCAAAGGGCTATTTGTCTTATTCACAGGTTGGCCTTTATTAGGCTTGAACCAGCAACCTTCTGGTTATGAGCTATATGTAATGCAGTAAGCTTAGGTCTGTCACGATTATGAAATTTGTCTGACGATTAATTGTCTAAGAAATAATTGTGATTATGACTATTAATCGTCTGTTTTAGGGCATTGTCATACATTTTGTGTGTGCTTTGTTTATTAAATAAATGCCAAAAAGGATTGTGTATATGCGGTTATTACAGAAAAAAATTCACAAGATGAATTGTTTATTTTTAATATTTAAATGTTTTTCAAATCTTTACATGTACCCCTGAAACATTCCTAAGTACCTCTGTTTTGGAATGACTGCTGTAAATCCGTGCCCTGAAGGATCTGTGAGCCTTCACTATTATTTAATAAGTCGTTTATGTGTGTTCAGTTGTGTTATCAGGAATCTGAATTAGCGGCATGTATGCGTTTTTCTTCCGGCTGTGTGCAGGGATTTTGGGACATTACTGACCTATTCCTCAGGGTTATCACAGCTCTGCTGAAGGCCTCCATTCCCTGTCCCCTCCTCCTCATGCCTCTCTCTGTGTCTCCTTACAGTGCCGGCATTGCTGTTGGTTTCTACGGCAATGGTGAGACCTGTGACGGTGTGAATCGGCTTACCTACTCCCTCCGCCATGCCAACCGTACCGTGTCAGGAGTGCACAGACTGGTGAGGCACTGATGCACACTGGGTTATGTTCACATGGTGCTCCATCTCTCCAAACACACCAGAGCTTGACAATCTCACTGACATACTTGGAGGTTTTACTGGGTGATCTGTAGCTCATGAGATAAGAGCTTACAAAGCAAATGTGTGTGTTTGTAGGTGACAGAAAGTACATCAGCTCAGAGCCAGACTGTGGACGAGAACCTTCGACTGCTAAAGGAACAGTATGCAAAGCACACAGACTACCTGTCCATCATACAGAAACTCCAGGATCAGCGGCGCGAGCTGGTTCGTCAGATGGCTGGCATTCCCTTTTGGAGGAATCTCAGCATCTCCCTGGAGGATCTGGCAACCCAGCTTGAACTGTATGACTGGTACAGGTACGTACTTTCTTTCGCAGGAATGGCAATATCACTAAAAGAAATATGTAAGAATGTCAAACATTCTACTTCAGTACAAAATCAATTCTAAAATTTTAAAGAAAATAAGATTTCAGCACCCAAATTTAAGTGTTTATATATTTTTTTTATTTTTAATAAAGGAAAATACATTTTTTTCTCTGGTTTTAATATTGGTTTCGAGAATCGTAAAACAGGCTCTTGTAGGTATTGGTCAGGGTTTCCCTAACTCAAGTTTATGAAAGTGTTGGGGGTTTGTATGTTGATGAAAAACGAATTAATGTATTTATTTAAAAAAATAGCGAACTGTGAACATGTAAATGTGTAAATATTAAATTAAAATCTAAGGGTTACTTCAAGTAAACATATCTAGTAATAGGGGTTTGGCTGACAGGAATGTATTAATTCCTTATACTGGTAAATTTTAGTGTTGCGACAACCTTAGAAATGTTTCTGACACACATTATGAAGTGTACTTCAGTTTGTTTGAAGGTGTGAAACCTTTCTAACATCCAAAAAGTGTCAGGAGAAAAAAATGCTCAAAGGATTTCTCTGTATCGCATAAGATGTGAACAGTGCACTCTTAGAGAGAATAGAAATTAGTATTCTGTTCACTCGCTGCCTCTTTCCACCTCTCGTCAGCCATTTACATTTCTGACTGAAAGAAATTGCTTTGGGGTCTGTTAAAAAGCCAAACAAGTTTAATTTCGGGCTTCCAAAACAAGATACACCCGTAAAACCAAATAATTTTGGCTTTGATTCTCTTTTTTTAATTACATTTTCTGAAAATGTAAATGGTGCTTGCCCATACAAAAGTTTCCATCTTTATGCTAACAACAACAACAACCCCTAAAATCGTGCTGGCAAGTTTTGAATGGATACGTTTCAGAAAAAAAGCTACTTCATCAAAGCATTTACATTTAAACAGATGTGTTATGAAACTTATATTTCAAACTTTACAAACATTACCGTCTATAACTTTTTTTTTTTTTTTTTTTCAAAGAAGTCTCTTATACTTACCAAGGCTGCACTTAAAACCGTCATATTGTGAAATACTATTACAATATTATTTTTATTTTTTATTTTTTTGGTAACATTATGAATTATCAATTTAATTCATCCTTGGTTACTGAAAATATCAATTTCTTAAAAGAAAAACAGCTAACTGTCCCCTTTTTCACATATATAGATTTCATTATTTAGATATACAACTGATCTGTTATATATACTTGTACTTATCTGTTAAGCATCTTATACTATTTGTTCATGTTTCTTAAAGTGTTACCATATTTGAGTTTGTGATACATTGTTATACAGTGTTTGTTACATTGACTGTGGATTTTGCTGTGTTTGTGATGTTAATGTGTTGATGTCTTTAGGTGGCTGGGCTACCTGGGTCTGCTGCTGTTTGATGTGCTCATTTGCCTGCTGGTGCTCTTCGGCCTCATCCGCAACTCTAAAGGAACTCTGATTGGGTAAGACTTGTCATATGGATGTGTCTATGGGTCATGTGTGGTACATCAGGGAAAACTTAGAGAAACTACCAAATGACCAGCGATATTTGATCTGCTCTTGTCAGTGACCCACAAAAGTCAGAGAGCCATGCACTCAATGCCACTCCGTGAGGCTGTGATGAATGATTTTTGACTCTCAGTCAAAGCAGTTACACCAGATTGATTTAAGAAGTGTTAGTTATGCTCTTCTGTTTTAGCTCCAACAGAGAAATTATAATGTCTCCTTCTCTCTGATTCACCCCCTCTGGGAAGTTTTATAAAGCTGAGATGGCACAGAAAAACAGAAGAACAACAGCGTGACAGGCTCTCCAGAGTGCCTGAACAACATGGCTCATAAAAACAGACACATTAGCACTCTTCCAAAACTGCTCTATCAACCTTATTTTTCCCATAAAGAGCGGGCGCTTTTTTGTAAATTTAATATGTCTGGCTTCCGGTCGTATCTGATTCCAGCTATTTTTAGCTGGACAAAACAGCTTGTTTTGCTGCTTGATATTGTAAACTGGTGTGTCTTACCATATTATTTTACTGTATTATCTTTATTGTGAACACACTGGTTTGTTGTGCAAACAGTTTTACCGTTTACTGCACTTTATTCTTCTTCTCGGTATTTCCCTACAGCGGCTAATGAACTGGAAGTCTCGCACATTCACCGAAAACAGCTTACTTCCTCATGCTGCCACTCAACCTGAAGTGCTACAAAAGAGCACAGAATAGTACATAAGTACACAGATTGGGATACACCTCCTATTGGTTAAGACACTCACCAGTGGAAGGTATATCCCAATCTGTGTACTTATGAACTATTCTGTGCTCTTCTGCAGTGTTGTTGTTCACTCTGAAAATTCATACGAATCACAACTAGAGTTTGATGTCGCAAAGATAATGCAACTCTGCCCACCCACTTTTTCAGCAGCCTTGGTTCCGGAAGTATTTTTCTTATTCATTTTTCCCATGAGGATTTTTAAAAAGTCTTTCTTAAAGCATTATAAGCCACGAACCAAACCAACTAGCTGCGAGGTCAATCACAACATTACAAATGTTGTCTTTTTGTCTGGAAGACCCCCCTTTCCATTAAATATATTTTATTAGACTGTCCTGCTTTTAATGCTAGACAACCTTAGTAAGATTTTACTAGAAACGCTTTAGAATTTTTATCACATGTAAATGTAAAACAACTTGCATAATCTTAACTGCTGTATTTTTCTTTTTGTTTGGTTTTTCTTTTTATTGTATTTATGCAAATCGTGTATTTTCTGTAACTTAGGTTTTGCAATGAAAAGAGCCTCAGATGCTGACATGGCATTCAAATCCAATACTCTGCCACTGTCGTTTTGTCTGATTTTCAAATACTTTTCTGCTTCAAATCAAAGTGACAAGACTGTGTACTTAACGTTAATGAGGGAAAGAACTACAATCCCAGAAAGCACTGCGAATGACATCATTCATTTTAAAAACAATGGAGGTTCAAATGCAGATGCACTACAGAGCTGTTTAGGTGTTTGCTTGTGACAGTTCTCTGATTGGCAGAGATTTAATTTTTCACCAGGAATTCCACTCTTGAACATAAAAAGATATTTTTAAAAACATGTCAAAATGATGCTGATGGCTTTAACTAAAGCATATACCATTGATTAACAATACCGTAGCTCTCATTAGGTCTGTCTTTAAAGGTCTAAAAGTTGTTTTTTAAAACCTATTCCCCTATGGGGAAAGTGAATGGATTTTTACTTCTGGAAACCCACTGTTTATAAAAGTAAAGCACACAAACATTGGGTAAAAAGGTTTTTTTTTTTTTTTTTGATGGGTTGTTTTTTTAATTTCTTGTAGTTATCTCTGCACAATAAACTGTTATTACTGAACAAATTACATGTCACATTTTAACTTTACTTGTGGATTCTTATTCACATTAAAATTGCACTGTCTATAGTTTGATGTGAGAGAAACCAAATACCGTTTGTTCTTACACATGATATTACATGACTTTCAAAAACTTGGAACAGAGCACAAATGGACTACTTATATATATATATATATATATATATATATATATAGAGTGAGATTTGAAAAAGCATAGGCTTATATTTGTATTGACTGATCCTTTCCTGTGTGTGCTTTAGTACCTCAGGTTCATGGTGTCGAGCCAGTCATGTTCAGTCATTTCGTCGATAGCGCCCAACTTTTCCACTAGTCCTGCCAAAAAATAGTGTTACAGATAGAGCCATTGTATCTCTAAGGCCGTCGTTAACCTGCTGTGTCTTATAGGAGGAAGCAGTGCATCGTTTCCCCCCGGGCTAGAGCTCACATTAAAGCCTGCCATCTGTATCCTGAAGCTGGCTTTCTGATTCCCTCTAGCTTGTCTTATTCACTATATGTTAAGTTATTTAGCATTTCACATTCACATTATATAGCGAAAAAGCCGGTTTGTCTTGAGGCCGTGTCAGGAGGTAAATGTCAGGATATTGATTTGCTCTGCAGTAAAAGTTGCTAATCGCTAAAAGCATGAAATCTTTAAGTTGCCATAGTTTAATCCCGACTCAAGGCATTTCATGATACTGTAATACCATCCTACTGCTTGATTTGTCTTTATTTAAAGGTACAGATGGAACTATACTTTTCATTAATGTACACATCACCAAAAAAATCCCTTTAATTTCTACCCATTTTACCTGGAAGATTTTGATTTTGGAGTTGTTATACTGCAAACAGTAATTTTAGTTCAGAATGTAGTTTTTTTTCTCTCTTGTTTTCCAATAAAATACAATATATAAGCATCTTTGAATACATACACTTGAATACATATATATATATAAAATATATGAGGCTCAAAATATAACAACATGCTATATGGATGATAGCAATACGTGTGCTTATTACTTAATGGTTTTGAATCCTACTGTTGCCTCTGTAATTTTACCACCATTAAATTCATATTATAGATGAAAGTTATGAAAATTGTAGTGGGGTGAAGGGTTTTTCTAAACAGTGCATAATATGTATACACTGCATATAATGATGGTTGAAATAACGATTATCTATGTTCTCTCAGGGTATGTTTTCTGGGTGTGTTGGCGCTGGTAATCAGCTGGGGCTCACTGGGTCTGGAACTGACTGTCTCCTCGGTGAGTGTCTCCATGGCAACGCTTCTCCACACAGAGGCAGGACAGTAGTGTCGTGATGATGCTTCCTCTTGTGATCTCCCTGTAAATGCCTAAATTATATCTGTGGAATTACCTAAAGCAGCCAGTAATAGCTTATCTCTATAGCAGCATGTATACTATACAGCTTCCTTAAAGGGGGGATGCCATGCCGTTTTTTGTATACATACTCTAACACTCAGAATCAAGGTCATTTACATATTAGGAATATACAGACCTACAGATGAAAGTCGAAATGGACTAGTCACTGGGTTGCCTACTACTAGTTGGCAAATCGGTTGTATGGAAGTCCCTGTATGATTAGGTTAGTTTCGGATTTACCAAGGCCTGATCACATTTCTGAGTATGGGACACCATACTTGACTATACGTCACATCACTCACTCACTTAAAAATGCAATCAAACAGAATTAAGGGATAAGTTAGACTATTTTTTTAGCTTGACATTCCATCTTAAAAATAAATGCAACACTTGTCAACCAGTTAAAGCACAGCACGCTGTCAGGATGCTAAGTAAACGCTGTCGCTAAAATAGGCTTAAATTAAAAAAATATAAACACTACCCTTCAAAAGTTTGGGGTTGGTAAGATGTTTTTGAAAGAAGTCACTTACCAGTCACCAAGACTGCATTTATTTGATCAAAATAGTAAAATCAGTAATATTGTGAAATATTATATTTTAATATATTTTAAAATATAATTTCTTCCTGTGATGTTAAAGCTGAATTTTCAGCATCATTACTCTAGTCTTCAGTGTCACATGATCCTTCAGAAATCATTCTAATATGCTGATTTGCTGCTCAACAAACATTTCTTATTATCATCAATGTTGAAAACAGTTGCACTGCTTAATATTTTTGTGGAAACCATGGAACATTTTCCCCAGAATTCTTATAGAAAGTTGAATAGAATAGAAAGCTGAAATGAATAGCAAGTTTTACAGACCAGCATTTATTATTACTTGTAACATTATAAAGGTCTTTACTCTCACTTTTGATCAATTTAATGGATAAGCTGTCCGTAGAGAAGTTGAATAATGGTCCTACAAATATCTTTTAGCTTCAGGGAAAAATAGCATGCTGTAAAGTGTAGAATATGCTCTTTTAATATACATTGTTTGCTTTTCTCTCTTATTTTAGGGCTTCGGTGACTTCTGTGCGGCACCTGACATGTACATAACCAAGGTGTCAGAGCAGTACATGCTTATCAAGAAAGGTATGTTTTATTTCATTCCAATACAGAGTTTTCTTTCAAATCTCACAGATATTAAATGTTTTCCCTTTCTTTCACCTGCTGCTGATTTGTGAGTAAGATGCTTAATCTAGCTGGTGTTATTATGAATCACTTGTGAGTCTGTCTGAATTCAGACTGTCCTACACCTCCTGACAGAGGAGCGTGTTCTCTGAGGCATGAGCAGTCACGCAGGCCTTCATTTCCTGTTAGCTCAGAGGAAGCGTTCCATATGACTTTCTCTTCCTCACTTTATCAGTGTTACTCAACACAGCAGTTCCTCTTCAAAGTGACCTTATTACCCACAGGAGTCTGGATGCTTTCAGTAAATCGGGGAAGAGACAACAGTGTGGGTGTTTTTTCTCTAAGTCTATGTTTGTTTTGTGTGTCCGATTGTTCCTCTTTGGGTGGCCATAGCAAGATGATGATGATGGAAGTTGATGCTCACACATTCTGGTTAAGCCTAATCTAGGTAGACTCAGGATACGGCCCATTGGAAATTGGTCTTCCTATGACTTAATCCTTGGAAAGGAAGCTTTAACAATGCCCTGAACATGTGTGAATCCTATAAAATGTTTTTAAATGGTTTCATTATGTTGGACCCGTGATTAGAGATGGACATTGAGATGCAGAGGTTATATTGGGACTATAAAAGCAGAAGTGTATTTTTGTATGCATGTGGATCCCTATATGCATTAATGTAGTAGAGGCAGTTTTGATATGTCAGCTTTGGCGTCTGTTATGATTAATCACTTTGTTGGTCGGCTGAGAAGAGCTACAGCAAGAACTTCTGGAGAACAGGAGAGCGATAAGAGGAAAGGAAGAGAAAACCGCTGAAGGATGGGGATGATAAACCATATGACTATCAGCTTCACACACCCATGTAATTGTGTCTCTTCTGGGCACTATTCTTATCTTTGTTCTTCCTATCTTCAGTCTTCCTCTCATTTGCTCTAAATAAGTCCTTAAAGGGATAGTTCACCCAAAATTGAAAAGTCTACCTTTAATTTATTCACCGTGCTGTCTTTCCAGGCTTGTACCTCAGAAGGAGAATTATGAATTTTCACCCAGGCTTTTTCAGTCTAACACAGTTTTGTAGTGACCATGTGCAAGTGATACATGTGAATATCCTGTTTTGAGCCTCTCTGCAGAACGCATTCAAGACTTGCAAGTAAACGCCCACTGCTATGATTGGCTAACAGTTTCGCTTATTAAAATAACAGATGGATGCTAACATACTCTGAAAACCACATGGGTCTTTTGGGTTAAAAACGTATAAATGCTCAGTATATATCAAATGGTCTGGAACAGACAATGCAATAATGGTAAAAACACGTTTACTCACACCTGTGTGTTGCGATGTTGTTGGATCCACTCTATTCAGACTGATGTGCTGCATCATCGTTTACTTTCAGTCTCTCTGAAAATCAGTAGCAAAGTAAGGCAAACAAACAAACACATTTTGTTTGTATTATAAAACAGTTTCACTGTTTTATAATACATTGACCTGTTATATGTCAAAAGATCAAGGGAATTAAAAAAAACAATAATAATAGCACATAAAATTGCTAAAAATAGAATAACATTTTGTAAAATAGTATTTAAATAATGCTATAATAATAACACTGTTCTGAAGTTAAAGAGAAAAGCCAACGTTTAATTGTAACCACATTGCTGAGTGAGTCAAACTATAGACCGATCAGTCTGATCTATGAACCAGATGAACTAGTTCTTAAAGAATTGGCTCAAAAAGAAAATCTATTCCACTCAGTGACTCATTACTTAATTTAACACCTTACTGAAGGGGAGGATTTTCAAGAAAATCATGGCCAAATTTAGTCTGATCCTCGCACAAAACTATAATATGACTTGGAGTATAGCACACAAGTCATTACACTACTTTTATGGTGATTTTTGTTTGTCTTTTTTTGGAGTTTGCCAGACATGGTCACTATGTATTATTCTGTGGAAAAGAGGAGCAAAATGAATAGTTTGGATAAAATATTGGTAAAGTATGATTCCTTCATCAGGAACAAAATATACTAGTGGGATTTAAGAATTGCTCTCACCATTCTAGAATAAAATAAGTCTTTGTCACTCATAAATGACAAGTGGACTGACACATACGAAACAAATCTAAAAACATCTCTGATTTCCAGGAACATCATCAAAATTTGCACATCAGATCTTAGCTTACACCTTTCCATTAATTGCGTTCCTTTAGTCCAGAATTATATTTGGAGCAGTAATTCAGCTGGAAGCATTAATGGATGTAGATGGAAACCACAAAGAAAGCTCTGAGTGTGTTCCTTCTGGCTATCACGGTCCTAGACTGAGTCATCCTACTGCTTTTCCCTAGAATAGAACCAAGACATTTCTGTACTTACAAATAGCGCACATGTCCCTGTGCCATCCGTCGTGTTTCTTCTGCCTCAGTATGTATTCCAGCATGTCTTTTGTGCTGTTTAATGCTGAATCTAGTTGTTAAAGAGGCCAGACTGTGATGCATTTTTTGGAATAATTAAAATCATAAATCTAGTGAACTTTTTACTATTTTCCATTTTTTTATTATTTAATGTACTTTCATAACAGTACACTTTTGTTTTATGTTATGTGGCTTTACAAAAAAAAAAGTTTTGGAAACAGTATTTATTTTATTTGTTTGTTTGTTTGAACTCATTTTACACCAAAAATATCTAACTTTTTCGAATTAGGCCGAATGCTTTGGCTACTTCTACATGTAAATAAGCTCTGTTATGATTGACTAGGCTACTAGCATGGTTTTTTTTACTATGACATTACAGTGTTTATCCACATCAGGTGTACTTGATGTTCACTCAGTATGAATTTCGAACCCAGAAGATGACAATATTTCAAGCATGTATCAAAATTAAACGCTTTCCTCTTTAAAAAAGCAACAGTAATGCATGCTATAATTGTCTTCCATTATATATGCCATTTATTCATCTGATAACGTCTCGGAAGGATGTTACATTTTACAATCATCATGGAAGAAAAGCTGTGAAGCACTTCATAAATAAGATCTGTCAGTACGCTGGCGTGTTCCCTGCCTCGCATGAATCAGGATCTTTTACAGCCTGCAGTCATCGCGGCGTGAGTGGGATTTAGAGCTCTGCCTCCTCTCAGATTGTTTTTGGAAGCCACTCCATTGTCTTTGTTCGGTTTCAGATGGGCATCACTAGTCACCCAATATTACATCCAATTACTGGAGGTCATTTACACATGACATATGAGCCTGTAGGGCTCTGGCCCTCTCACTGAATACTATTACAACCTATAAATCCAGCCTTGAATTCCACTAAATGAATGCTGCTCAGTTCAGCCTTTTGTATATAGCCATCCATGGACATAATTGAGAGGCCAGTTTATTTCCCTCATCATTGCCATAATTATGCTATTTATAGGGCAATCAGGGAGGCCTGTCGTATGGGATGGGAGACTTTTTGCTGTGACCGTTGCCATGTGTGTGTCCACGTGTGTAATGATAGTGATGAAGCATCACTCCTCCTCAATAAACCCACCGCTTTGACGCATGTGTCTGTTTTTGATTCACATCCACGCAACCCGCTGCAAGCTGCGCATAAAGATGGCCCAAGACTCCATCTGTGTTGGCGTGTGGTTTGTGAGAGGACTGTGTGAATTAGTACCATTTCCTGTGCAGAAATAGAATTTTTTTTTTTTTTTTACACTGCAGTCTAGATCTTCGTTTCCATTCATTTTACATTCACCGATCAGATTCATTACAAGTTAATTTTAAGCAACTTCACAGTTAAAAAGTACAGGACCCCAAATTGTTTGTGTGTGTACATTGTACATTTTGTACTTGTAATTTATGGGAATCAAACTCATGACCTTTGTGTTGCTAGCGTCAAGCTGCAATGTTTGAGATACCAACCTGCTATTTAGGAAGTCTACAGCTCTCGTCTTTATTTTCAGTCCTCATAAAAATCCTCAGTGACCTGTCAGCACTATTCAAATGTGTGATTATGTAAGTTCTCTTCATGTTTGCTGAAAATAGTTGAAATCACAAAATTAAATTCAACCGAATATGACTCCTATTACTGATGCACATTTACTGAGAAGCATGTGTAATGTTCAGGCGAGCGAGATTTGAACTTGTAACTTCCTGCACCAGGCAAGAATTATTCCTGATCACCCCTAAGATTAAAGTCTTATTCATTTATTAGATATTGTGGCTAATTTCTTATGTGCTCACTGCTCAGCTACCAATAATAGTGCCTTTAATTTTATTTAAACATGTTTTGCATGTTTAAATTCATTCCACAGATTTTCCTCCAATATCTATGCAAAATAATCTGCAGATTTGGTCTGGGATTAGTTATTGATTCATATGCATTGACTGGGAAATTCTCCTCTGCATAAGAAAAATTAGATGCTTGGCTTAGCTTGGGTGAGTTAGGCATTTGTGGACTGAATTTAGGGTTGCTCGTGATTGAATATATAGCGGTTCAGATACCTGACATGGCTGCTGTGGGTTCTCTGAGCTCTGTAAATGATAGTGTGTCAGTGTGAAGGTTCATCTGCTTTGGGCTGATGTGAAATGGAAAGGAAAGAAAAGAGAAAAGATTTGTTGAGTGTTGCAGGTTTATAATGACTTGCAGTGCATACAATTGTATTATATGCTTGTAGCGGCAAGCAAATCAAGGGGAAAAAACCTCATACCTGAGTGGGTCTTCTTCTAGATGATAAATGCTGATTTCTTTCATGTCATTACTCTTGACCTACTGCCTCTCTCTCTCTATTTACAGATATCCTGCAGTATTACCTCACATGTAACATAGGTCAGGTCAACCCCTTCCAACAGGTAACTATAGCTTCTACCTCTTTTTAATTTTTTGATTCAGATTTTCTCTGTTAACCAAATCCCTCACTTTCAAATCTCTGAGAGATGTCCTCAAAAAAGTATATCGGCTCTGTTCTAAACCCTAGTGAGCTTCCTAACTAGAGAAGTTTGGCATCATAGAGATATTCCCAACTGAAAGGCTTTTTGCAAATAGCAAAATTATGCACTTCTATGGGTACCTCGTTTGTCAAAAATGTAATACAGCATTACATGTATGCGTCACAGAAATGGTAATCTGAGAATTAATTGCTATGAGGTTAGTGAGACTTTCACAGATAGTGGACTGAGTCAGTGATTTTTTTCCCCCCTCATTTCTGAAGTATAAATAAGTTATTTAATTAAAAAAAAAAAAATCTTCAAATATGTTACTTTAACAACAGGCTAATGTATAGGTTTAGTATTTATATTCTATTATATTTATTAATATTTTGAATTAGCTTTTAATTTTTATATTTTCCGTTTTTAATTCTAGTTAAAATTTTGGTATTTTATGTGCTTTTGTAAGTTTTTTTTATTTTAAACTTATTTGTGTCATTTATATAATTATATATTTATATAATTTATCAAATTAATAATTGAGTAAAGTGCTTTTTTTCATCTAATATTCATATTTTATTTGATTTCAGCTTTATTTTGATTAACAAAAATAATTTGTAATAGTTATAGTTTTAATTAACAAAACAACACTGATTCTGCCATCAGACTGAGTAAGTTTAGTCCTGTGCACTTTGCCTGCGAACCTGTATTTACGTGAGGTTTGAGGGCCTATTAATGTTGTTCCTTCTGTAGATAGTTTGACTTCATTGTGATAAGGATGTGTGTGTAAACAATAGACAGCGAGGCTTCTCACTGGAGATTAGAAGAGAGCCAATCTCTTCCTCTTCACGCTTCATTACAGGGGAAGTGCCCCTGTTTCGTTTGTCACTACATTAGCATTCTGCTTATTTTATTTTATTTTTTTAGCATTCTGCTTATTATGGGCGGCTCAATGGAAATGTGTGCTCCTTTGGCTTCCTGCCACTTCCTTTAGTTAATGGAGTAAGACTCCACGTCTTTATTTGAATAATGCATGTGCATGATTCAGACGAATCTCAGCTCTTAACTGATCATGATTGATGGATTATGTCAGCAGCCACTCCATTGTCTTGATGTCATTTAATTTAAATGAAAGGTAATGCCCAATATGGAGATTGAACACTCTACTTGTCAGCTGATGTCTCTGAATGGAGTTCCTCCAGTTCTCATGCAGCATACAGATGAAATTAGCCTGATTCACATCTGAGACAGCGATTTCTTGAAATGGATATTAATTTCAGACTTAAAATGTCACCAAGGAATATTTTAGGAACATTTTAAAGAGAAATGTTGAAGATTCTGCAACAAGTTTCACGTTTTATGCTTTAAAAATTAGAGTTGCTTTGCTATCTACTATGCACATAAGCACTTAATTTCACACACGACATGCACTTGCATTCAAAATAACTAGAGGTATTTTTGTGGGATTTCCTTATATGTGACGGATGCCAAAAGTTTGAAAGTTTTTGAAACAAATGCTCACCAAGGCTGCGTTTGTGTTTTTTGATCAAATAAAAACAGTAACACAATTGAAAAAAAGCTTTTCTGTTTGAATGTATTTTATTCTAATGTAGTTTATTCCTGTGATGCAAAGCTGAATTTTCAGCATCATTACTCCAGTCTTCAGTGTCACATGATCCTTCAGAAATCATTCTAATATGCTGATTTGCTGCTCAACAAACGTCTTATTTTTTATCATCAATGTTAAAAACAGTTGTGCTGCTTAATATTTTTGTGGAAAAATCATAGATATTTCAAGATTCTTTGAATAGAAAGTTCAAAAGAGCAGCATTTATTTCAAATATAAATCTTTTTGTAACATTATAAATGTCTTTTATAAAATGTAATGTCCTTGTTCGGTAAAAGTAGTAATAGTGAAATAGGTAGTGTATATAATGCTGTTTTGACCAAAAGTATGTATCTTCTAAGGCGTAGGAATAGCATTTGTGTGAGGTTGTTTTTCATAATTCTTGCTAGCAGCACTGAACCTGTACTTGCTGCTGTCTGTTGACTTTAGTTTCCAGCTCTGTTGCCTGCAATCAACACAGTAAGCAAAAGTCTTCTGTGAGCTTTCTAAAGAAGAACACGTTGTACTTTCACTACCTCTTTCTCAGTGAATGTCAGCTCGTTTCCCGGCCTATCATTGTAGAACTTTTGGCAGACAATGCTGACACAGTGGCCATTTGGCTTCTCAAATATTAATGTTTTCAAGACCTGTGCTCCTGAAATGCTCCATGACACACATTAAAATGTCCTAAATGGCCGGGTGCAAGAAACTGCACTGACTTGTGCTGCTGGGTGTAAATGCACTGTTGCATTATGCAAACAGCTCTCACTGCTCCTGCAGTACTAACAGTGGAGTGAGCGTGGGGGTGTGCAGTGGTGAATGAACACCGAGGAAATACATCTGCACTGGGCAGGAAGTGTCAGTTGCGCAACCCAGGTGGAATTACCTGTCTAGCTCTTAACATTGCATTTTTGTGTCTTTCAGAAAATAACTAGAATCAAACAATTACATGCAGAAATTCATACTGTATTTAGTAAAGATGCACTAAATTGATCAAAAGTGACAGTCTAGACAATAATATTGTGAAGGATTTCTATTTCAAAAAATGACTGCTCTTTTAAAATTCCTATTCATCAAAAGAATCCTGAAAAAAATGTATCACAATTTCCACAAAAATATTAAGCAGCACAACTGTTTTCAACATTGATAATAATAACAAATGTTTCATGAGCAGCAAATCAGCATATTAGAATGAATTCTGAATGATCATGTGACACTGAAGACTGGAGTAATGGTGCTGAAAATTCAGCTTTGCCATCACAGGAATAAACTACATTTTAAAATATATTAGAAAATGGGTATTTAATTATTATAATTATATTATTATACTATATTACTAATATAGTAATGTGTCACAATGTTGTTTTTAGTGTATTTTCGATCAAATAAATGTGATTGGTGAACTTGACTTTGTTTTTAAAAAATCTTAGCAACCTCAAACTTTTGAACAAGTGTGTATATGCCACACTATATACAGGGTGTCATATAATTATGAGATGTGAATGTAAATATTTTTAAACTATTGTGAAATTTTATAGTTAACTGCTGTCATTAGTTTCTTTCTTTTTTTCTTTTTTGTTTGGGGCACTTTTAAATCCTATTCTTTAGATCAATGTTTTTGTGCTAGTTTTAGTATATGATAATAACCTGATTCCTATTAATTCCTTTGTTGAAATAAATGGAAAAAACGTAAATGTTGAAAAATACAATAAGTATTTTATAAGTATAAGCTTGTCAACAAGATAATGTTTACACTCAGCATGTAACTGGTTTAGTTTTTTTCTTGTTGTAGAAGCTGTCAGGAAGTCACAAAGCACTGGTGGAAATGCAGGACGATGTGTCAGAACTACTGCGCTCTGCAGTCCGTGATTACCCCAGAACGAAGGTGAGCGCTTGTGTGTAGATATCTGCATGACTCTGTGTGTGTGTGTGCGTGTGTGTGCGTGTGCGTGCGTGCGTGCGTGCGTGTGTGTTCATTACCCCTGGGCCTCTGTCATTGTGCAGCATCTGTGTGTGTTCTTGGACAAAGTGATGGTTGACATTCTGTACATGTGAGAGAGAAAGCCGCCCTCTCGCTGAAACACAAGCGTTGAGAGAAAACGCTGAATCAATGGAAATATTTCACCCTTAGAACCAGCCCAAATCTGATTTACCACTGCAGCTTTATACAACTTAGACCTCACACAACATTGAGCCTTTTAAAGAAAGAAAACAAGCCTTTCTTCTTTGACATCCTCCTGTGTGAATGTGAATGTTTTGGTTTGTCGTGTGTGACAATAGACTGCTGAAAATTCAGCTTTAACATCACAGAAATAAATTACATTTTAAAATATATTCAAATAGAAAACGGTAATAATAGTTGACGGTATTGCTATTTTAGTGTATTTTTGATAAAGTAACTTTTTAAACGTGTATGTAAATGAGAATATTTATTTAGATATTGCATTTAGAGTAACCATTTTATTTCAAACTGTGTGTGCCTGTTTTTTAGGGAAACCTTGAGCAAATTCAGGGGGGCTTGAACACCACTGAAGTTGGACTGCACCAGCTCACTGCTCTTGTGGACTGCCGCAGTTTGCACATGGTAAGAAATTGTGTTTTAGTGTATATGACCACTTTGCACAAACGGTTCCTCTCTGACTCTAAATTAGGCACATCTTACCACCATTGTCATTGTAACCTCAACCTGTGGGCTTCAGTGACATGAAAAGCCAGGGTTTTGACGCCCATCTCCAGCCTGCTCACAAACAAACTAATACTTGTGTGTGTGTGTGTGTGTTTGTATCTTCTAACTGTTCTAAACCTTACCAGCACTTGCTGCTACAGTCTGGAGCCTGTCTTGTTCTCTGAGATGATGGAGATGTCTGATATTTCAGGATTCAGCATGACTAGAGTTCCTTCTCGGCTGAGAGACAGAGGCCTGCTGTGTGGGTGGTCCTAAAAGTGCATCTCCTTCCCATGTGAAGAGAAAGTAACGGATAAAATATGGACTTTTGGCAGTGTATTATACATTATTAATCGTGTTTTCATACTGCAAAAGCAATAACATACTACACGGTCCAAGCGTACATCTGGGCTGTATGTAGGAGAGTTTGTGCTGGAGATTCTGAACAGCGCCGGCAGTAATTACAAATGGAGCAGTTTTGCAGTTAATAATGACAGTAATTTGGAGGAAGGAAGACACTGCCATGTTTCTCTGATAGCAGCATGTGTAGGGCTGATCGCGGTGCGGTCAACATGTATTATTAAAAGCCCTGTTTCTCTCTGCAGCATATGGTGCTGTCTACTCCACGAAGGTCCCAGTTAGAGAGTCTAGCACTGGATATTATCATACTGTTTTTTTTTTTTTACTGTATCTATTATCCACATACCCAGCAGAGACGAGTTTCTGTGTGTGTTGTTTCATGCAAGGCATTTAAAGTGACAGTTGACCTAAAAATGAACATTATTCTGCTGAATAGAAAGAAAGTTAAGGATGGCAGTGAGTGAATGATGACAGAATTTGCAGTGTTTGCGTGCAAGGCTGCGATTGTGCATTTAATGCTGTCTTTCTGTTTGTGTGCAGGATTATGTGCAGGCATTGACCGGAGTGTGTTATGATGGACTAGAGGGTCTGATCCTTTTGGCAGTGTATTATACATTATTAAGTTGGTGTTTTCATACTGCAAAAGCAATAACATACTACACGGTCCAAGCGTACATCTGGGCTGTATGTAGGAGAGTTTGTGCTGGAGATGCTGAACAGCGCCGGCAGTAATTACAAATGGAGCAGTTTTGCAGTTAATAATGACAGTAATTTGGAGGAAGGAAGACACTGCCATGTTTCTCTGATAGCAGCATGTGTAGGGCTGATCGCGGTGCGGTCAACATGTATTATTAAAAGCCCTGTTTCTCTCTGCAGCATATGGTGCTGTCTACTCCACGAAGGTCCCAGTTAGAGAGTCTAGCACTGGATATTATCATACTGTTTTTTTTTTTTTTTACTGTATCTATTATCCACATACCCAGCAGAGACGAGTTTCTGTGTGTGTTGTTTCATGCAAGGCATTTAAAGTGACAGTTGACCTAAAAATGAACATTATTCTGCTGAATAGAAAGAAAGTTAAGGATGGCAGTGAGTGAATGATGACAGAATTTGCAGTGTTTGCGTGCAAGGCTGCGATTGTGCATTTAATGCTGTCTTTCTGTTTGTGTGCAGGATTATGTGCAGGCATTGACCGGAGTGTGTTATGATGGACTAGAGGGTCTGATCTACCTGGTGCTGTTCTCGTTCATCACAGCTCTCATGTTCACCTCTGTCGTGTGCAGTGTGCCACACACATGGCATGGCAAAAGGTGAGATCTAAAGAGAAAAACAAATTCATAAATGTTCCAAATATATTATTTTATGGTTTTCTATGATTTCCATGATGTGGAATACATTCATAAGAAGATCAAAAGTAGGTAAAATCAGAAGTTTTGAGAGAAAAAAAAAAAGATTTTGTTTTTGAAAATACAAATTTTAATAAATGAATGCATTTTTAATGTATTTTAAGTTTTAAGGCATTCAAATAATTAGACATGCTTAAACAGAATTTGATAACAATAAAGCAGAATGTGAGAAAAAATAAAACATTTCACAGGGCCATTTCATTTTGTTAAACTTTTAATAAATTGATATTAAATTGTATACGTTTCATGATTTTAATTAAGCATGCTTTCTGATTAATACAATTTTAATATATAAAAATAAAAACTGAAATGTGGCCTCAAATATTGTTTTGTAGACAGTGGGAACCCACAACCCATTACCCAGTTGTTGAGGGGGTGAAATAAATATATGCATGTAATTTTTTTTTCTAGTTTCTAATAGTCTATATATAAATGTATATATTCAAAAAGCATAACACTGATCGGTCTGCACAGCGCTGCTTCAAGTCGAACACGCCTCTTATAGTGTTAGGGGAGGGGCCGTGCTCAGTGCATCATCGAGACATGATTTCAGGTCTACCCAAAAAATCCTGAACACAAAAATGATGAAAAACTATTTAACGGTCTAACTCCACAATTCAGTTCTACATCATTCACAATCTTTTTAACGCATTTCAGCAATGCACTTCTAACATTTATAATGTGTTTAGAAACAATTCTCTGAATTAGTAGCCTAATAAAAGCGGTTTTATTTAACACACAGTGGGTCGTCTCATGGGGGCAGACATGTTTGGTCACATTGACCAATTGAGTTTTACTTTGCAGCGGGAGCTTGAAAACAAAAAAAAAAAAATTCAATCGGTTCACTCCGAGCAGAATCAATATTTTAACGTTTCTGTCCCCGTGTTCCTCTGATATTATTACCATTCCGAAACTGGTTCGAGAAGTAGAAATACCGGTTAATAACGTCATTTTTTTAAAATAATAATTTGCCTAATAATAATAATAATAATAAAGTACAGCGTTTTCTTTACTCAAAAAGAAAAGGAAAAAAGAGAGATCTGGTAACGTTAGCTGCGCTTAGTCACAGCCAATACTGCATCATCTTTTCTAGATTTTGGCCAAATGTAGGCTACTAAACAAAATAAAAAATCTATCAAAACTTTAAAGCAATTAAAGTATTTTTAAGATATTTAAAAATGTTTGCTGCATTGTAAAAAAAAAGATTGGGTTTTGAGAGTGAAAAAAACTCTCACGCCGCATTTTATTAGCCCTATTAGCCTTCATTCCGAAATAATGAAGGCTAAAATGCCTCTAGGCTAAAGCAAAATGTTTACAAACATTATAAACACAGTTATTAGTTTCTCTCCAAAACAAATCCTCTAAAGTTTAGGCTATAAAAACGTCAATCCAAAAACTAATTAATTGAAGGTGAAACTGATACCTACCTCTTTCATTCGGCACGAATCCAAGTGTTTCCATAATCGCTGCGTATCTGGATGCTAAAATATTATTTATTATATAGGCTTTGTATTTTGATATTGGAACAGGCTGCAATGTAGCAAAAATATGTTGTGTGTGCGCGCAAGGCGCCGGCGCGATGGTCATACCAACGCTGGTCGGTTATACAGAAGCAAGACATTATTCAAAGCTGTCAAGCTTTTGCAAAATAAAGAAAACTACTTTCTGCTGTCTCGTTTTCCTTTCCGAGAATTTTGGAACGCGTCGCAATGAACCGTAACTCAGCACATTTTTTTCTTTCGTTTCGTTAATCTGTCAATGATTTAAATGAAATATATTTTGTGTATATGCCTATATTCCTTTTTATGTAAGCCTGTAGTTTTTCTGTTTTCTACGTTCACAGAAGCGCTGCAGGTGCGTGTGATCTGTTGAATCCATCTTACACTATCCTCGGATAAACTCTTAACGCTGGTGCACTGCCATTGCGACTTACCTATGATGAGTTCACAGCTGAGCGGACATTTCACTTGTTGGCTTTAGTGTCACATTTGCATAGGCCGTACTACTGGAATTCGTGATTGGTTGACAGCAAATTTCAAATATTGAATGGAACAATAAAATAACGTTATTAACCGGTTAATGGCCATTTCAAATTTTCGATTTTGTTCGGAACTATTTAGCTATTTAGGAACTGTTTCTGTTCCTGTCAAAATTTCGTTCGGTTCAGAGCCCTGCTTTGCAGTATATTAGTTGATAGGAATAAATCAGTGATGGGTGACATTTTAGATGCTACATATACACCAGCACTGGGGGCGCTGTAACGGGAGGAAGTTTAGGATGATTCCAAGGGCCCTGATCAGAGATGCAAGTTCTACTGAGGGGGCCCCCGAGTCAATATGCTGTTCAGGGGGCCCAGAAACCATAGCGGCGCTCCTGACAAGCACAACATGTAAAAATAAAGAAAGAAAAAGTACTGAGTGCACCTTGTAAAAATCTAAGAATTGGATTCAATTTCACTTTGAAAAAAAATCACCATATGTGACCCTGGACCACAAAGCCAGTCATAGGGGTAAATTTTTTGAAATTGAGATTTATACATCATCTTAAAGCTGAAGCTCCATTGATGTATGGTTTGTTAGGATAGGATAATATTTGGCCAAGATACAACTATTTGAAAATCTGGAATCTGAGGGTGCACAAAAATCTAAATACTGAGAAAATTGCCTTTAAAGTTGTCCAAATTAAGTTCTTAGCAATGCATATTACTAATCAAAAATGAAGTTTTTATATATTTACGGTAGGAAATTTACAAAATATCATCATGGAACATGATTTTTTACTTAATATGCTAATTATATTTGGCATAAAAGAAAAATCGATCATTTTGACCCATACAATGTTTTTTGGCTATTGCTAAAAATATACCCCAGTGACTTAAGACTGGTTTTGTGGTCCAGGGTCACATATGAAAACAAATAAAAAAAACAGTAAGATTTTAACATAAATACTTCTCATGCTTTACAACAAAAACAAAAAAAGACAACATATGATTTTTAATACTGTATTTAACTGCCGTTTTTTTATTTATTTTTTTTAAGTACAAACTTTACACAGAAGTGTGGAAAAATGTTTCTTAGGAAAAAAAAAAAAAGCATTCGTCAAATGCGTAAACATAAATGCCCTCGGAGATTAGTTTAGAAACTCCCATTTATTATGTATTTTCTATTCTGTGCAGCTGCCTTTAACCATGAAATACTCAAGTCAAATTGACCTGCAAACATCATAATACTAATAGAAATTTTGTACGCACACTTCCACAACATATCAGATTGTTGAGACTTTCCAGACATGTTTGACACGAAATGCGAAAGTCGCAAAATTTCAAGATAAACAAGTTAACAGGTATTTCTGACAACTCAAGTCAAAATGGGTCAAACTGACCATCAACATAATTTGACAGTTAAGGTTTTTTTCTAATGCAAGTCTGCTGCAACTAAATTGCACAAAAGTCTGAAACATTTACATTAGAACTATTCACACTGCCACATTTCAGAATTCACTTTTTTTTAACTCATTTTTAATCCTCCTGCATCTGAAGCAAAAAAAATTGAATAGAATTATTATTAAATAAAAATAAATTATTACATTTATTTACAAATTAATTATTTTTGTCATAAAACCAGGTACCGAAAATTCTGACTTGGTGTTGACAAGTCGTTAACTGGATCAACTCTAAGTTTACTTTTGTGTACAATAACGCAACCACACTTTATGCCAATGATAAGTTTCAAGTGTTAGCTAGAGTAGTACTGAGGCTGAACTACTGTACACTGAACGAGTTCATAAAGCTACCAGCAGGGGGCGGCCCAGTTCTGTATATTTATAGCACCACACTCTTTTTCACAGCCCTCCTGATAATGTGAATTTTTCTCCCTCTGGTCACCATCAGCTTTCTCATTCACGTCCATTAAGCTAACACTGCAGATACATCCCATTCTGTTCCTGGTTGCATGTAATCCAATCACAGACCAGTGGACACAGGAGAACAGACTGTTAGTGGTCTGTCAAGAGTCACAGAGTCGATGATAAAGGTATTTGTGTGGTTCCAAGCTTTCCCTCAAATGATAATGTGTCATATCTCTAAGAGGGAAGAGCGGATCACATGTTGCTCTCTTGTTCTCTGTGGCTGAAAGCAAGCAGAGGAAGAATGGCAAGCACATGCCTGTTTGTCATCAGTAGCACAACAGAGAGCGCCCTCTGCTGTTTATACCACAGTGATATTGATAGTTGATAGTGAAGATCACATAGAATTTATTAATATACAGTTGGACATATCACAGTGATATGACTCCTATTTCTCCTCTATTTTAAGTGGATTCATCCGTTTCACTGAAATTTTGGCTTTCCACTTGGAATCAAGGTGTTGTTTTTTTGACTACGCTGATATGCATGTTTTGTGATATTTTATGTTGACCAGTAATACTAGTCACTAGTATAGTACACTACGGTTCAAAAGTTTGGGAAAGATTTTTTTTTTAATGTCTCTTACGCTCATCAAGGCTGCAATTGTTATATTAAATGTACAGCAAAAACAGTAATATTGTTAAATATAATTTCAATTTAAAATAAGTTTGCTATTGTAATATATTTTAAAATGTAATTTATTTCTGTGATGGCAAAGCTGAATTTTCATCATTACTCCAGTCTTCAGTGTCACATGATCCTTCAGAAATCATTCTAATATGATGATTTGCTGCTCAAGAAACATTTCTTATTGTCAGTGTTGAAAATAGCTGTGCTGCATAATATTTTTGTAGAAACCGTGATGTATTTCTGTATAAAGTTCAAAAGAACAGCATTTATTTGAAATAATATTTTGTAGCATTATAAATGACTTTGTCACAAATTTAATTTGTCCCTGATATTTAAAAAAGAAACTTACCGACCCCAAACATTTGAACGTAAGTTTTATTAATTTATTGTTTTGTCCCCATCTTCATTTATTCATTTTGCTTTGCTGGAATTTACTGTATTGTTAATTTTTAGCATCAAGAAAACTTTCAATAAAATGACATGATTTTTACCTGACAATACATCCCATTGGTGCAGGAGGTGGTGCTAATTAACAGCGGGTATTTCGCTTCTATCAAGTGTTGCATACAGGTGACAACTCTTTCTGACCTCAAGGGGGTCCCGTCTGAGTTTTGACACTGCTTGTCAGCTATCTGCAGTGTCTCACTCTGCTAACTGGCAGTTTTACTCCAATTCACAAGTGACTTACCAGCAATTCACAAGTTGCATGACGTTGGGCTGTGTTGACAGTAGCTGTAGTTCACTGACAAGCAACACAAAATCGCGTTCAAAATCGGCAATGAATCGCCTGCGATTTTGAACGCGATTTTGTGTAGCTTGTCAGTGATCTACGGCTCTGCGTAGTAAATGCCGCTCCATCTGAAAGCACGTGCTGGAGATTTACTAATAATCACCAGAAGCGGCTTTACTGACACGATAGATTAAACGATATCAAACTACAGCTGATGTCCTCTGAAATCAATGAAGTATCACCTTTGAACTCAAGCCAGTTTGAACTGATGGATCTGTTTCTGTAATGTGTATGCTGTGTGTGTTTGTGCATACAGGCCTGATGAGGACAGTGAGGAGGAGTCCATGGCTCATGGAGGAAGACAGAATCATGATAACCTGTACCGGGTGCACATGCCCAGTCTCTACAGCTGCGGCAGCAGCTACGGCAGTGAGACCAGCATCCCTGCTGGAGCGCACACTGTCAGCAACGCTCCTGTTACTGAGTACATGTGAGTTAAACACACACACACACATATGACATCAACAGCCAATACACATAAACACAGACTGAGCACATACAGGTCACCTTTTCCTTTCTGTGAGGGATTCATGCAGTATTCTGTAGAAATAATCCAATATTCCGTTTGAGCGATACTGAGTGATGTTCCCACATTTCTACTTTCTACTTCGCTAATCCATCTAATCCATGTATTCATGAGAAACACAGTCATTTAAGTGAAACATTTGTTTGTAACCTAAAGCAAATATGAAAAAAGTGTGATTATATCACAAAACAAGTTTGCTTAATGATGCTACTTAATTATAATATTAATATTATAGTAATATACTAGTAGTAATATAATAATACTATTTTATGTAGTATAGTAATAATAATTACGTAATAAAAACATAATATATCTTATGTTTGTCTTAACAATAACATTATTTTTAGAAATACACTAATATTCATTATAGCTCAGAATTGTTTATACTTCTACTACTAGTAGAATTAATAGTAAAAAAAGGTATATTCATCAAAGTATCCAAAAAATATTAAGCAGCACACCAGTTTTCAATATTGATAATAGTAAATGCTGCTTGAGCTGTAAATCAGTGTATTAGAATAATTTCTGGAGGAACATGTGACTCTGAAGACTGGAGTAATGATGCTGAAATTTCAGCTTTGCCATCACAGAAATAAGTTACATTTTAAAATGTATTAACATAGGAAACAGGTATTTTAAATTGCCATGATATTTCATAATATTACTGATTTCACTGTATTTTTAATCTTTAAAAACATTATAAAAAATTATATTGACCCCAAACATTAATAGTGTAAATAAGCAATAACCGTAAATTTGAAATGAGTAATTAGTAACATTGCTGCAGGAGGATATATGATCTTTGAGTGTGTTTTGTCTCCAGGACCCAGAATGCAAATCTCCAGAACCCTCGCTGTGAGAACACACCTCTGATCGGGAGAGAATCTCCTCCTCCATCTGTAAGTATCTGCACTCGTCCTCAGTGAACAACAACAACACACAATAATCACAAACACACTAACACACCACAGAGTCATTTTGACAGCCTGAATGCTTAAATATTCACCTCAAATAGCACGTACTTGTAGTCTGCTTGTGTAAATCAGTGATCTCCCCCACTGTAGTTTCACTGTACACAGCAAGTCATTACAAAGAGCCCTGAACTCTGTTCAAGTAAATATCTGTTTGGATGATTGAGTTAGTGAGAGCTGACCGCAAACCTTTCAAGCCAACTGCTGTTGGACAAAAAGGTTTTAGGAATTGGGAACTTATTGCTTGCCCAATCTTACAGAACAGTTTAGGTAGAGTGGAGATTTATAGCCATAGATCAATGTCTCGTTGATTTTTCGTGTGTGAGGAAAAAGAGAACCGAGATTTTGAACCAGCTGCCCACTTACCGACTCGAAACACGGTCATATCAACACAGTCACCTGAAATTGCTGAAATCGGGCTGTTAAGCTCAGCGCTCCGATATGGAATGGAGGGGATTAATTAAACGAGTGACATTTCACATAGACTTTTAATGTATTTTAACACCTCTTTTGGGGAGCCAATCAATATGAAGCTCCCAAAATCAGATCTAGAGCACATTGCAAACATAAGCATCATAGTTGGTGGGACTCTTAGCGTTCACTCATGAACAGACGCTAAGAATGTTAGAAGGGTGGAACGTTTCGGCACGCACTAGGACCGCGGTTCAACTTAAATCTGACAACGCATCTGTAATATGGTTTCTGATAAATAACACGTAAAACAAACAGGGTTCGGCTAATATATGTTTCTGTTGATGGATGCACATTCTGGCTTCCCAATACATTACAACAACAGCGATAAAAAATTTAAAAAAAAAACTTGGACAAACCATTCACTCTTGTTCAATGCGAATGCCGTATGCTGGAATATGAGCAGTCATTTATTCCGTCATCACCCGGGTGCTGATAGCACGCACGCACAGATGAGACCTGAACAGCACACGTTGATATCTGTGTATAAGCTAAACTCGTTTAAGCTTTGCCAGTTTAAACATTTAAGAGTCAGAGCTTTCTCTGAAATATTGTTTAAATGGACAAATTCACACAAAAAATGTCAAAATGCCCGTCTTGGTAAGTATCCTATAGCAGACATATAGCATGACGATTTGTGCTACTGTCAGATTTTGCTACCTCCTATTAAAACAGATGGTAGCATAATTCGATAGCGAAAAGTGCTACCTATCAGATTTTGCTTCCAGCATGATATTAATAAGGTGTGAGGCTTTATTAACATGTACACCTACCCCAACCCTAAACCTACCCTTACAGTAGGATAAATACAGTGTTGGTAGCATAATCTGATAGGTAGCATTATTTGTCAGAACACCGGCTGAACGTACTGTATCAGTGCTTTCTCTTAAAGTGACAGCACTTTCTTAATATTAATCAAACAGCAACAACAAAGAAATCACTCACTGCTCTTGATTGAATAGCTTTTGTAACTTTAATAAAGATTAATCTTTCATTTATACAGTCACATATGCAATGCTGTTTTACATTTCATTACTTTATTCAATTTCTGTACCCGAAACGTTATACATCTGTGTATAAGCTAAACTCGTTTAAGCTTTGCCAGTTTAAACATTTAAGAGTCAGAGCTTTCTCTGAAATATTGTTTAAATGGACAAATTCACACAAAAAATGTCAAAATGCCCGTCTTGGTAAGTATCCTATAGCAGACATATAGCATGACGATTTGTGCTACTGTCAGATTTTGCTACCTCCTATTAAAACAGATGGTAGCATAATTCGATAGCGAAAAGTGCTACCTATCAGATTTTGCTTCCAGCATGATATTAATAAGGTGTGAGGCTTTATTAACATGTACACCTACCCCAACCCTAAACCTACCCTTACAGTAGGATAAATACAGTGTTGGTAGCATAATCTGATAGGTAGCATTATTTGTCAGAACACCGGCTGAACGTACTGTATCAGTGCTTTCTCTTAAAGTGACAGCACTTTCTTAATATTAATCAAACAGCAACAACAAAGAAATCACTCACTGCTCTTGATTGAATAGCTTTTGTAACTTTAATAAAGATTAATCTTTCATTTATACAGTCACATATGCAATGCTGTTTTACATTTCATTACTTTATTCAATTTCTGTACCGAAACCGTGACTCAAAAACCGTGATACAAACCGAACCATGAGTAAGTTGAACCGTTCCACCCCTAGTTAGAAGGTAATTAATTATTTGAGTACTTGTGCACCACCTAGTTGACTAAGAAAAACTTAAAAAGATTTGCCATAAAGCACCAAAATAAAAGATCCCCTTGAGTTCACTTAAATCTTGGCATTACAACTGTGAACATTAGGTGGCGCTGTTGATACATGATGTTGAGGTAATGAGAGATAATGACGTGTGCTTTCAGATGCATACATTATTTTGGTTGTAAAGGTTATCTTAACATTTACCGTTGTTTGGCAAATTTTCGTGGGTGAAATCCAGTCATGGGCAATGATTTCCCTATGCAGATTTTACAACGGGTCAAAAACATTACGGGTCATGAAAATGACTTCTGTCCGAGCTGTGCCCCATACATCGCTATGCTATTGACATTAGACAATGGAATTTTTTTTGTTGGCGACATTTTGCTAATGTGACATTTCCTTTGACATTTGGTGTATTTGCTTCATGTCAGAGTCATGCATCCCACCAGATGAGAATCCAATTTTATGGTTCTTTAAGAAACTCAAGTCAACAAAAATAACATATTAGTGCTTACCCAGAAGTTATATGAAAACCTATTTTTATAATATACATTAATCTGATTAGCAATCAGTTACATATAATTTTTACATTCCAATAACATGCATTACATAATTTTTATGTCTAATAATTTTGTATCCATTTCACAGACATATGCTCATTATTTTTATTTATTTTTTTATTTTTTTTGACATCAGTTACATGACCACAAAATTAGTCCGTGTTTTTTTTAAGAAAAATTGTCTCTGGACAAACTTTAAATGAAGCTTACAGCTAAAAAACTATGTTAAAATGGATTAGTCGGCTGGTAGTTTAGGTGAGATACAGATTGTCAGGACTTGCTGATGTAAGTTAACCCCACTCACACCCGTGTGTCTGTGTCTGCTCACACCTTCGTGTCTGGTCTTGTGTCTTCTAGACCCTGCGTGTGTGTTTGGGAGTGCATGTGTACGTGTTTCTTGTGAGCTGGAGATGCAGTCAGTGGTGTCTATCTGCTCTACACTTTCTTGTCATTTTCTTTTCTGCAAACCCACACAGTTATATTTGACATCCACGGACAGTAACAGCCGTCACAGCTGGCAGTTAAAGCCATCGGAGAGTTCCCGCTCGTTTTGGTAACCGCCTCAGCTATTCCAACAGGTACTCAAATGCCCCATTCCCATTTATTGGCCCATCACCCTCCCTACAAAAACAAAAAACACAACAGCGTGATTCCTTCCCAAATCACCCTCACTCTGACCCAAGAAAGCTGCCCTTGCCCCTGGTGTTTTTGTTGTGTGGATCCCTGGTCTTGTCATCTGTGAGGTAGCATGTTCTCCCTCCACCAGCATTAACTATTCCAGTATCTAACAGATAATCCAATTTCCAAGAACACAGAGAGGACTAAATGCATTAAGGTAGACATTAACGGAGAGAACTGCTTTTTAATTTAGTTTAGCTAATGATTAGCATCCTAAAGGTGCATTCACACTGACAGTCATTAAACTGATGGAGGTCACTGAGCCACTATATGCTATTAATTTCTAGTTTCTAGGTTGACTGTTGAATCAGGCCACAGATCACTCTCTGAGCTCTCATTGGCAGTTGACACATCACATCACTGCTCATTTGAATAATGTGTGTCACTGTCATTCATTTCACTGACAATCAGCACGCTTTATATCTTGGTCACACTTTATTTTAATGTTTCCCTGTTATAGTGTAATTACACAAATAAGCACTCGAGTCATATTTCTCTGTCAGTGTGAACAAAAGTAATGTAACGTCCCGTAGTCGTGTTTTGTGTAATATTAGTTATACCCTTAATGAGTGATTACTTCTTTTTATCTTTAAAATGTATATGTTTTTAATCTTAGCTTGATGTGTTGAAATTTGAGTTTTAACTAAGAGCTGTCAGCTCTAGTCGCTAAATATGCAGCTGTACACTGGTGATGATTAGTGTACACTGGATTTGAATGTACAGGCTTTTCTTTCTTTTAGAAACAAATGTGACTGAGTTTGTTGATACCTGTCTGAGGGTATGAGTCATTATCTTAGTATTAAGGCCATTCGCACCTGTTTGAACAAACCATTTTGCAAATGTAATCAGGAGATAGAGTAATTAGCCAGTTACATTCATGCCACACTTAAAGGCGTCAAGAATAAAATGAGCTTAAGGGTATCAAAAGAGGATTTACATTAGTATTGGGTCATTTTAGGTCTAGAACAGTGGTTCTCAACCTTTTTTTCCACTGGGCCGCACTATGGTCCAAGTGCAAGTCTCACGGGCCTCACGCATATCATTTACATATTATGTCACCAATACAAACCAACCAGATTTATAATAGCCTATTATAGCCTAAATATTATGATATCTAATCGATTACATTGAAATAAATAATTATACTCCCCATTAATAAAACACCTGATGCTGTCGGGAGCAGACCAATTTTGTGAAATTCGGCTCGAAAGTAGGAACCGCACAATGAAGTTGCGATTGTAAGTTGCAGTCTTTAAGGCGCGCACGGAAGCGTGACTTGACGCGCGACGTTGCAGAAAAGGTGCGTTCACGAATGTAGCCTATGTTGATCCAATATGTAAAGCACTTTCGAATTTAATAATCTGAGGTTCTCTCCAGAGATGTTTTGCCACATTTCTGCAATTAAGGATGATTGCTGCATATGGGTGTTTCCTTTTGCCTGAACTGGAGCCCTGCATTTCAGCCCGGGCCCAACATGCCCCGACTTTTTTACGCCCCTAGGGCCGGGCTTCGGGAATATTTTCACATCATAGTTCAGACACGGGCCGGGCATCTAGCTTGTTTTAGGCTTCTCCTTATTTTTATATTTTAGACATCCATCAATTAGTGATGACATTTTTTTTTTTGCAGCGCTGGTGCAAACAACACGAGACCGTGCTGCTGCGACTGTCAAGAGCAGCTCGACGGTGTTTAGTGTCCAGCAGCAGCAGCATGTATGGTGCATGCCGTCAGCACAGCTGAAGTGATATGCGTTCAAATGCACGCAATAGACTAAAGCTTGCCGCAAAGCAACGGCAAAAGAAATGACCATGAATGTGTCAGGGGGAAATAGTGAGGAGATATTTGAGTTATTTACTAATAAACTAGTGTTTTCTGAGTCGGTGTCGCAAGGATGAAGTTGTCGATCCTAACTCGCCATCTCCTCATTAGACGCGCCTTTAGAGAGAAGTGCATTTTTACAGATTATGATTATAATGAAAGAGTTTTTGATTTGTTTTATTTCGTTAAGTAGTAATTTAAAGCTTTCTATAGATATTATAGATATTTATTATGTCTGTGAGGCATGTATTCGCTGAGTTTCGGTTCACACTGAAAAAAATGCAAGCGATCACGCTGGCGCCTCCATGTCCTGCAAAGCGCTTTAGCTTCCACTCTCCGCACAAACTATTGGATATAGTGCACATTTATCTAGGTTTAACATTAAAACATTGTTATATGCTTGAACTGTTTTACATCTATAGATTTTATTTTAGTCAAGTCGTGATGATTTGGGAAGGCTAAATTTATCAAACATAGGCTATGATCAGCTCACTGTCTGCCGCTGGCCGATTGGTCGTTACTTTAAAAAACAAACTTATATTTAACGACCAAAAAATGCTCCAAACGTTTTTCTAAATTACCTTAATAAAAAAACCATTTGCCATTACATACAAAACTTAACTATTTTAATATACTGTAGCTGAAACGGTAGTATAAGCTGTTTTGGGAGAAGGGGAAAAAAAGACAGGCTCGGGTCGGACTCGGGCCGGTAATTCTGATAAGCTGTCGGACAAGGGCCGGGCTAGGGCCTATATTTGAGGCCCGTGCACGGCTCTAGCCTGAACATCTTCAAGTGAGTGGCGGGGCAAACCGAAAGTTGATGCTGAAAGTCCAGCACTTATACCTTCACTGCTGCGACTACTCTTGTTTGTATGCGTTCCTTCGCTGGCATTTTCCACATTTCGTTTTTCTCCCTTAATAACAAATGTGTCCATTCTGATGCTCAATTTTACCGAACTAATGGCTACTGATGACTATTTGAATTGAATTCTGCCAAAGTGCACGCTTGTAAGTGTTCGTTAAATGCGTAACGTTAATTACGTGAGTAGGCTTCAGGTCTGCTCATGTCTAAAAATAATATATGAAAAACAAAATTATTTTACATAAAAACATTATAGATTATATTTGTTTAGTACATTTTTAAATTAATGTAAAAACTAAAATGAATTGTAAAACTGAAAGTTATTTTTTAAATTGTGTTCAGCGGGCTGCATTTGAATTTGCGAGGGGCCGCGGGTTGAGATCCACTGGTCTAGAAGTATAAAGATATGTCTCGTCTTTTTGTATATCAAATCATGTTAGTGGTTAGGTTATATGTAAGAAAAGTAGAAAACGGAAAAGTAGTATCTGTTCAATCTATCAAAACAGCAAGCAGTCAGTTAAAATATGCTTTTTGCCGTTTAATAGCAAATAAATAAAAAATACTGACTGCACTAGTTCACTCTATGCAAACGCATTAATATTGCATCTACAAGGCTGTCTAAATGATTTTGGGTGTGCTGTGACAGACTTTATTATTATTATGGATAAGTGTTATTGTAGTATAATTTTGTTATATTTTGTATCTTCATTTTGTGTTGGGAGGTTTTGATTGTTTTTGTCATTTTTATTACTGTTTTTTTTTTATTAATTTTATCCAAGTTTTAGTTACTTTAGTACAATTTAAATAATATAATCATTATGCCAAAACAAGGGTATCAAATCTTTCGAGGTACAGCTTTGAAAGAAAATTATAATCCAATAAAAATATTTGGAAAGCATGCATTATACATTTGGGATGCACAATATCAGTAGCATTTCTATTCTAATCCGATATTACAGAATTTTTATAATTTATTGGCATCAATATTGGTTACTTAAAGGGATAGTTCACCCAAAAATGAAAATTCTGTCATTAATTACTCCACCCTCATGTCGTTCCAAACCCGTAAAACCTCTGTTCATCTTCGGAACACAAATTAAGATATTTTTGATGCATTCTGACAGCTCTCTGACCCTCCCATAGACAGCAAGGGTACTACCACCATCAAGGCCCAGAAACGTAGCAAGGAGATCGGTAAAATAATCCATGTGACATCAGAGGTTCAACCATAATATTACGAAGCTGCGAAAATACTTTTTGTGCGCATAACGCGGATACGTTGTTTTCAAATCAAAGCACAAATAACGTAGAAAACGTATCCGCGTGGTGCGGCAGAGACCGAACAACATACGCTGTTTATGTTCAGTGGATATTCTCCAAAAGGGCGCTAGGGTGATGAATTGTTGAATAAAGTCGTTTCTTTTTTCTTCTTCTTCTTCTTTTGCGCACAAAAAGTATTTTCGTAGCTTCGTAATATTGCAGTTGAACCCCTGACATCACATGGATTTTTTTACCGATCTCCTTGCTACTTTTCTGGACGTTGATCGTGTTAGGATCCTTGCTGTCTATGGGAGGGTCAGAGAGCTCTCAGAATGCATCAAAAATATCTTAATTTGTGTTCCATTTTTTCAGCCATAACAATTTTAAAAGTATATATTTTTTTCATTTATAATAATTTATTTATGAAATAATAGTCATTTACAGTGCATCCCTAACATACGTCCTTGAAATAATGGACCACCATCTTGGTTTTAATACCAGGTGTAAACAGCACCACTGTGACAGGCATGTTTGCACTATATATAGCATGTTCTTTTGTCTGAAAACTAAGTCTAAAATCTAAACGATTTAGTATTTTCTTTTCTCAATGTTTGTCTCCATCCAGTACACATCCAGCATGAGGGCCAAGTACCTGGCCAACACCCGGACCGACCCCAACAGCAGTTCCTCAGCAAACTAGAGGAAAACTGTCTCTTTTCCCTTCAGTCTAAAGCTCTTACTCATCCACATGTTGTTCCCCCAGCCCAGACCAGTTTCACCCCAGGCCCACCCATCCAGCCATGTTGATCTTAGATGCGTGCTCTCCATCCCAGCTGATAAAGGACGCCCTTGCATCATGTAAATACTGCTGTCAGAGGAATGTTCCAGAGGCCGCTTGCGCTGTTTCCAGATGGTTGGTTCAGTTCAGGCAGCTAGTAGGGATACTCTCAGCCCTGGCTGCTTTTGTGCTTGCTAATGTCTGTTTTTACAAATAGATTACCAGCTAATCTTTAAATTAATCTCATTAATAATTTAACAGTTTTAAATGTAATTTTCAGCAAATTTCTAAATTAATATGTAGTTTTTGTATTCTGTACATTATATGATGTAAAGCTATTTGTTCTTTTATATTATATTTTTTTCATTTATAATAATTTATTTATGAAATAATAGTCATTTACAGTGCATCCCTAACATACGTCCTTGAAATAATGGACCACCATCTTGGTTTTAATACCAGGTGTAAACAGCACCACTGTGACAGGCATGTTTGCACTATATATAGCATGTTCTTTTGTCTGAAAACTAAGTCTAAAATCTAAACGATTTAGTATTTTCTTTTCTCAATGTTTGTCTCCATCCAGTACACATCCAGCATGAGGGCCAAGTACCTGGCCAACACCCGGACCGACCCCAACAGCAGTTCCTCAGCAAACTAGAGGAAAACTGTCTCTTTTCCCTTCAGTCTAAAGCTCTTACTCATCCACATGTTGTTCCCCCAGCCCAGACCAGTTTCACCCCAGGCCCACCCATCCAGCCATGTTGATCTTAGATGCGTGCTCTCCATCCCAGCTGATAAAGGACGCCCTTGCATCATGTAAATACTGCTGTCAGAGGAATGTTCCAGAGGCCGCTTGCGCTGTTTCCAGATGGTTGGTTCAGTTCAGGCAGCTAGTAGGGATACTCTCAGCCCTGGCTGCTTTTGTGTGAGCGTCTCTGTAATGATATGAACTTCATTACCTACAGATACATTGAGTGATGTGTGTGTGTTTGTTGATCCATGCTGCCCTTGCTCATTTGTGGTGCTCTTGCCAGAGGTTCAGAAAGGTCCAGAACTGAAGAACTGGACGGGGTTTAACGCCCATAACCCTACATTTCTGCGTGGCCTCTGTCCTCTGGTCATTTGAAGTAATGTGATCTTTTCCATTTGCAGGACCTACTGCCACATCCCGACTCTACAGTTTACATCAGTGGCATCTACTGTAATATAACTTGGTGGTTCCCAACCCTGGTCCTGGAGGCACCACAACACTGCACATTTTGCATGTCTCCTTAATCAAACACACCTGATTCAGGTTATCAACTCATTAGTAGAGACTCCAAGACCTGAAATTGGTGTGTCAGAGAAAGGAGACATGCAAAATGTGCAGTGTTGGGGTGCCTCCAGGACCAGGGTTGGGAACCACTGATATAACTGAACCGATCTAATCTGAATAGTGTGAGAGCAATGAGAATTTTCCCAGAATTCAATAATTGGGTTCCACTTGTTTAGGCTTAGATGGCAGTTTTTAAATATAACATTAGCAGCTGTAATGAAATGGTGAGAGAAAGAAACCCAGAAACATGCTCTACTCTAGTAAACAAATGCAGACGCCAAGAACGATACTCGAGAGGTTACAGAGCCAGATGATTTTAGTAGATTTATTCACTGCATTACTAATATAGTCCACTTAAATGTATTTGTATTTGTAGGAGTCGTGAATGCCGCCATCTGGCAAGACGCAAAATATATTCGGCACAATGCTCACCGTGCATTGGTATTCACTAGCAGTAAGCCATTTAGTGTACATCAGATGAGTGTACTTGATTATGTTCACTATAGCTGCAGACACCAAATAGTGCACTATATTTCAGACACAGCCCAAGGTTTCTCTTCAAAAGTTGCTTTGTCATGACATTCTTCTACTTGTGTATAGTATATTTCGGGCCTAAATCTGTAGCATACGCAGGTTGTGAGGAGAAGATTGTTTGGGATTTTTTTTTGTTTCTATCTGATTTACAGGCTTGAATTTTCAATGGGAAATTATGGTTTGTAGATGCTGTTTACCTATTGAAGTTCTTGTTGGGTTTTTCTCAATACACATGGACTGAATTATTACTCATTTAACTGGGCTATATCCACTGCCATTACTGGAAAACCTGGACAACTGCTATTACATCCAAGTATTTTCAATCTGAATTCAACAAAACTCTAAAAATGCTTACTCTGATGCAGGGACCATATCTGAACCTTCAATTTGTCCTACTACTGTACAAACACGGAGACACTGGGACCAGCTTGGGCGATTGGTCATCGCTTATCTGTTCTAGGAAAGAAGCTGTGAGGAGTTCATTGTAGTGTACACAATGTAGACTTAACATTTGGAACTTGATTTTGCTGATCAGTTTAGTCCTCAGGAAAGGGGACACCAATATGGCAGGAAGTAAAGTCATCAGTGGCCTGTCTTTTTTCGTTCAAAGAAATGGAAGAGAGCCCACAAGCCTCAGCAACTTGTGCTGTAATTCAGTGTGACTTTCAAAGCCCGCAATTTCCTGGGCTTGTTGCTTCTGTACCACAAATTGCTTTCATTCCCAGAGCTGAGGGGAAACTTGCCATCCCTGAAGAAGATATAAAAGTGATGTGCTGTCATACAGAATATTTTCCCCTTGATGAGAGCACAGACACACAGGAGGCTGGCATCCGATCAGGGTGAACTCCCTTTCTCCTCAAAAGACCTCTCTCATGTTGTAGACTGAGTCTAGTATAAACACGTCTCCCCTCTGGACCTTATAAAGTGGTGCCAATGTTCTCATACCATGGGCATCATCGTTCTCACCTTTGCCCACACCTCAGGACAGGCTGCCTCCTTCCTCAACCTGCCAACATGTCAATTTCAGGACACCAAGTCCAGGTCATATCCTTACCACATTTTCAGGGCTCAACAAAAAGTCTTAACATTTTCACTTGCCACATAAAAAAATGCTACATTTTTATTATCCACATGCTCTAAATTCTTCATGATAAAGGTTCATAATTTATGAAGAATAGATAAAGCATTGGTTTGGCCATTCATCCTTACTGTTGAGCCCTGATTTTCCATCTCATAGAGATCTGCGTGGGCTCTGCATGCATGCATGCTGTTTAAATGCGGACTAATGACAAATGCCAATATGGCAAAGTTGCTCCTGAGGTCCCAGACTTTTATGAAAACAAGCAAGAACTTCATGGAGCAGATTACTAAAGGGATGTATTACAGCTAAAAGCAAGCAGAGCCTTGGATTGTGTTACTCAGCTGTTATTAGACCATGTGAGTTTTTTTAGCTTCTCAAAGGCATGGTCATCCTATAAATGTGGAGTGGAACCATGTTGTGTGCTACTGATGCTTGCATTGGTTTCTCAATTGATGCTTTTGTGATCAATGATGAGGTCTGAACATCCTCGACTGTGCCAATAACTGACAGCTTTCGTGTATCTCTAAATGTTTTGCATCCTTGAAGTGGACTCTCGTGAGCTCTGCGTGGCCTGAGCAACCAGATGAGACACCTTTGAACGTGAGCCTGACGCTGTGGGAGTATTTGTATTTTTTCTCTGTAAATGACCACGTTAGTGATGATGCAATCTCTGTTTTTGTGTCACCATTTACTCCTTGGTAATGTCATACTGCAAAAATAATGTATATACAGTATATTGAACAAATGTTTGCAAGAAAAATGCCCCATTAAGGACATGAAATTGTGATGTGATCTAGAACAAACAGGATTTTTTTTTTTTTTTCATTTATTAGACGGGGCTCAATGCCAGTTCATTTAGTGTGGCTTCCTTTTTCTTCTCAGTTGGGCCTGTTGATGTGACCTATTTGTGGACATGTCAGTGTTTCTGATCATAGGTGAGATTTCTTGAAGTTTTATTAACAACAGAAAATTATTTCTGTCACTCAGGAAACTTTTGGGGGCTTTCTTTGCAGATGTTAACTCAGTTGTGCTGTCAATATGGGAAACTCAACAGTCAGACTCCACTTTTACTCAAAAGTAAGAACAGAAACCGTAATCACATAACACACACACATACATACAGAAATGATTTTTTAAAGTTGCAAGTAAAACAAGTATTATTGGAGTGTGTTTTACAAGAAAATGCTTTCTATTTCAAGACTTTAATACATGTTGTGCTACTTGTAGTTTTATGTAATTATTTGTCAAATGACAAATTTGCACTTTCTGATTGAAAATAGTTTTTATGCCTTTTTATATTTTTTTCTCTCCTCACTGCAGGGTACCTAAAATCTACCTTGCAGCAGGCGCAATGATATTACGCAGCGAATGAAAATAGTCCCCAGCGCGCTCCCTGTGCAAGCAGGTGGTCATGTTGGTTATGTTGACAGAAGTTAGCCTATTTTCAGGCGCTGCGTAATATTGCGCTTGCTGCACCCACGGTACGGCAGCAAAGTTCCTTGATTATTATGCTGGAATGAGAGTATAGTTCCTAGCCATATCGGCCTAGAAAATCACAACTTTTCATTTTCCGTCGGTCTTGGTACACGATGTAACTACAGAAGAATCAAGTTTTAAATAGGAAAAATATAGAAACTCTTTGGTCATTTTTGAGCGAGATGCTAACGGTCTAATCAGATTCAATGATCTATGCTAAGCTACAGCTAAAAGTGCTACCGCCAGACCCGGAGATCGGCTGAATGGATTCAAAGACGGTAAAACTCAACTGTTTAACTTTTGAGTTAAACGGTTGGAAAATGAGCCTATTTTCAAAAATGGTGGAGTGTTCATTTAAGCTGGAAGTAACTGGTTTTAGCTGGTCTTCCAGCCTGGTTGAGCTGGTTTTATCTGGTCAGTCAGCTCGTGACCAGCTATGACCAGGCTGGACGACCAGCTAAAACCAGCCAACTAGCTTAGGCTGGTTTTAGCTGTTTTATGTTTTGTTTTGGGGGGTTTTTTCCCCGAAGGAAATCTAAACAGAAATATTTTAAATAGCAACAAAATGACTAATACTTAAACTAAAATTAAAACAAAGTATTAAAAAATGAAAGTTAGGACTATTGCCATCAATATTTTTCCTTTCTATGTCAGTTTATGGACTACCTGTGCATTTAAATACTTTTGAACACAACTCAACTAAAATTATCCAAAATATGATAATGGTTTGGTAAATATAATAAGGTGGTACTAAGTTTTTTGGGGGTTTTTCAG